TTTCTTTTATAAGCATTGTTTCGTTTGTCTTACTCAATGGTGTGGTCCTCTTGATTGTGTGCTTTTGGTCAGTCATTTGCAAAAAATATTGCAGAAGGAACTCATTTTCTAGATGGCAGTTTGAGACCTCATCCATTACGCACATTTTAAAGTCATTACAAAGGCAGTTTTATTGTTACGTTTTTGTCACGAGACCATTAATAGACGGATAAAACTGACCTTCAACACAAGTCATGGCACTCCCAAGAGGTATTTAAGTATAGCCAAATTTTTTTCAGTGTAGTTTACTTTCCTACGACTAAGTAACATTCTGACTGGAATTCCGCACTTGTTGCGTTCGATACGTGATGACATCATGTCACATCACCGCATATACGCATTATTTCTTTAAACAGTAATTCCCCGCTCACCAGTCAAACCTCAAACTCTTCATCGAACAACGATAGTTTTTGAAGAACTCTCGTGGCTGAATGTTCTTAAACACCTCATAGAAATTAAGAGAACGAGATTAGCAGTCGCTAATCAGAATGGTAATGTAATGAAACTATTTGGGATGGTTTTACATCTTGTTTCGCAACTTGTAATAAAACGTTTTCAAAAAATTTTTTGACGGGCTTTGAAGCGAGTTGAATACGGCTAAAAGCAGATCTCTGTCAATAAACAACGTCTGTATTGGTTAAACATCCTCTACATGATGCCTGAAAAGAGCTGCAGTAAATAAGTTTATGTAAACGTTGAACGTTACCTTCATCCATTCTTAGAACGGCAGTAGAAGGACGCTTCTTAAATGAAGACAGTTTTTACATTAAGTCAGTAACAAAAGCAGCATAAAGATTATCCTGGTTCTTAGCTTTTTAAACTGAAAATTCTTTCAAATTGAAGCTAACATTTAGGGACCTCATTTGTGAAGCACCGCGAATTTTCAGTAGCCCCCGTGGACGATTTTTAATTTCTTAGAGGTGACCTAGAGCGGGACTTCAAGAGACCAAGCGGTCGATAAAGAACTGCATCAATGCAAGCTCCATTTGGCAATACCACAAGCGTGCAGGAAGTTGCGTTGTGTTTTGAAGTGGTATTCTTACTTGTTGCGCAGTTAAAAATCATCAATACATAGCAGTTACTTACATCTGCAATTTTAAGCTTTCTACTACTGTAGCCAAAAAAGAATGTAATAATCAGCTTTTGCTTAATTAGTTCTCTTAGGTATGTGCTATTGTAGGTTTTATATCCAGGCATACTATGCACATATACAGGTATGCGCGTTTTTCTAGGAACAGAATATTCTGGTTGTTTGGAAGATTTTCTTTTTAGTTTTCCAAAGTACATAAGCAAAAAAGGAATTAAAGCACTTGTATGAAACCGGCTTTGAAATGAAGAGCTTGCTAAAACAAAAAATTTTTGAACTAAGCACTGTTGCCTTATGTAACTATCGACTATGTAGTTCTTGCGTTTGAACTCATGACTGGGTACTGAAGAGTGATGGATAGCGAAACTGGCGGATATGCGTTGGTAGGTTTCAGATATTGCGTGTTAAAAACGTTATATTGGTGAATGGGTAATTGCAGTGGGAAAACCAGCGTTTTCTGTGTGTTCTTTATAATTTGTCAGTTATTAATGTTCTACAGAATCTAATTTTCAACTGATTTGAAACAGTTGTCATCGCCTCTTTTACGGTAGTTCTGTACAGTTCTTTGAAATTCTTTTCTGCTAAGGAAGTTTCAAAAGCAGTGTAATTCAAATTAAATATTTTTTTCTGAAATTTGTTCAGTGGTTATTGCTAATTTGTTGCGGTCAGTGGGAGTAAGAAATTAATTTAGTCTTAGCAGAAGAGAGGAAGAATGAAAGTGACGCTATTGCTTGAGGACTTTTATTGGAAAATAAGTCAAGCATCCTCATCTATTATGCATTAGGCTAGGACTTCTGCGAGGTGAAAAAAATTTATCGAAACGACTAGCAAAATATTCAATAGAGTTGCTCTTTGGGATGACATCTAATTACGCAACTGCTGGTCTGAGCCACAAAGCTAATACCACTACCATCGTTGAAAGAGAGCGACTTTTGGATACACCTATGGAAGCGGTAAGCAAATTTGCGTTGTCAATAACTAAAGTTTATTAAAGATAAGTTTTATGTGTCTATAAATTAGAATAAGGAAGAGTCAATCGGTTTGATAAAAATGCAGAGAAGACTATTGATTTGGCTCCATATTGTAAGAGAAGTTTGTATTTATCAGCCACTGGACAAGATTAACTTTGGAAAAATCTGAAATAGCAATTTAAAAAACTTTGAAGTTTAAGGTTTTATTTTTTCTTTACTGAAATTTTCAAATATGACTGTGTAAGAGGTTGCAACGCGAAAACGCTGTTGAACTTTTAAGTTTATTTTGGTAAGCGGTTGAAGTTGAAATAATTTTCATAGTCTCTAATAACTTTATTTTCATCCAGCTTTGCAGCGGAATTTTGCTAGGTCACTCAGTTTAAAAATATATCTTATTTGCTTCAAAAATTCTTTGAAATTTTTTGTGGTGTAGAAATTAAAAGGTGATTGTTTTACATTTTCAATCGAAAAAAAAAAATAGGAGCAAGGAGTTACTAGCGTTATCGAGATCTCATTAGGTGTTAAAGTCGGATTTACAGTGTCGTTTATCTTTGATTGGCATTTTAGAAATCTTAAAGCTCAGTTATTTCAAATTTTGTTTTTTTGGGATATAGTTGAGAGACAAAACTTATAATGCTCTCTTAGTCAATCTTTGAAATTTGAAAATCTAAAGTCTAGAAGAAAATGGTTTCAGAATAAGTAATTTTAATTTTTAAAATTTACGAGAAAGCTAATGGTACAAAGAGTGAGGACCTCAAAGTCATTTTTTTTACAGAGAAGCAAAAGAATTGTGGTTCGACAGAAACCGGAATTGTATTTATGCAGTAATAGTGTTACTGTGGGAAATGAAGGACCATTGTGTGGTAACAACTTTTTTTCTGAAATAATCTAAGAATTTTTTCTCTCTTTAATTAACTTCTTTACCGAAGGAGAGTAGCGGAACATTAAAGAGGGAACGGAAAAAGAGGCAATTCAACAAAAATGTTCTCGATCTTCAGAAATTTCGAAGAGTTAATATATAAAATGTTTGCAGTTTTTAAAAGCTACGTCGTTGTTCAGAAAATTTCTTAGTGAAATTGGTTAAGGCAGCTTCACGTGCTGTAAACATACAGCTTCTGTGATTTTAGAAACAAAACAGGAATGTGATAATATTGAAGAGGAAGAGGCATCTGTTATAGATAATGGTGCTACATATGATAGTTTTAAAGAAGAAATGAGTGATGAAGAGCTGTCAAGAACCGTAAATCTTTTTAACTTTTTCTGCTTGTAAATAAAGAATGAAAAGCCTAATTTATATTTATTCTGCGCTAACTCAAAAACTTGGATTCAGTAATGTTGCTTTTAGCAGGATTTTAAGCTAAAGAGTTGCTGGTTTCTAATTGGTGACTGTGCGTAACTCTAATTAGATTTTTATAGGGACATGATGCGCAAATTAACAGATTCATTAAGGAGAAGGAATTGCAGCAGCCACTGAAACAGATTCAAGCTATCCTCTACCGAGAGCAGCAAAGGAGGTCTCCTCCAGAATTTTGTCCTATACGTGATGAAAAAAGTACGTTATCCTCTCTCTACTACATTTCAAAGCTATTTTACTGCACAATTTCCTAAATCAAACAGAGGAGAAGTTTACCACACTGAATTCAAAAAGTAGCTTATTAATTTGGCCAATCTTAATGTGATAAATTGTATTTCCAAAACTGTGCTCTATTTTTTTCCTAATAAGAGATTTGCGAGAAAGAAGAGCTAAAATATAAATTCTCATTTCTCATTTCCTTGAAAGAATAATAATTTAAACCTAATTTTAGTTAAAATTTATCTTTTAGAAAAACCATTGAATTTGAGTTTACTTAGTGTTACTTTCATAGAGAAGCCAAAAATTCTATAAGTTTGCAAGTTTCTCCGAAAGTGGTGCTATTTCAAACTGTTGAGTGAAATAAAAAATTGTAACTGTTTTACTGTGACCATTGATCTGATAACTACTTTAGACTGCAAAAAAATAACAAAGCTAAAAGCAGATGATAGTTTGGTTTGTGGGGACTTGAAAAAATTGCGATCAGACGCACTAAAACCTCATTATTTGTTTTATTTATTCTGGTCACCTGTGTAGTACGGAGTCTAAAGATATAATTCACTAGAATCGGGGATTTCTAAGGCATAATTGTAGGTCGTATTTTTTCATTTTTGATATATAATTTTAAGTTTTTCGCAATAACGTTTGACAACTCATCTTTCGCTGATTTCTATAAAATGACTAAACAGTTACTCCCACCAGCACCTTAATACTGTCAGTAAACGTCTTGCAGTGAGAATTAAGTTTTTGAAATATCAGAATTTGTGCAAAACTACCAGATAATTGAGTTTAGAACTTAAATATGGATCTTATTTCTTGTAAAACTGATCTTAGGGCACCTTCAAACTTATCTTTTCTGCTCTGCAGTCGCTTTTGAAAATTTTTTTAAATTTTTATTGCATTGACTTGCTTTGTGTAAAGTCTCTTAAAATAGTAGTGATGGAATTTTTAACCAATTTTATGCCATTCTTGTGCACTTTTTCAAGTTTATTCGCATCGCTTGTGTGAAAAATTTTTTTGAACAGCTGGCTGCTTTTTTTCTTTTCTTTATCGGTCTAAAAAGCGTAATTTGAAATAAACTTCAAAAGCGATAAAAAGCTGATGAAAGTGGTGAAGGCATGCATCAACAAATTTTTTCAAAGGTGAGGAAGATGTCGTGGATGGTGCTCTTCCAATAAGTTCTATAGCTAAGCGACAATTAGAAGAAGGCAGAACTGTAAGTTATTTTAATGTATTCTCTTCTATGGCCTAACTAGTTGAAATTAACAAACAAGATCAAATGGATTTATTAGTTTACTGAAAACGGGCAGTCCGGTTTCAGGGACGTCGAGTTGATCACATGGCATATGTTAGTGTTTCTCGGCAAGAACTTTCTCAGTTTAGCAGGAATCCTCACATCCGAAAAATCATTATTGGGGGACCAAAAAGCAGTGAAACGAATGATAAAGTATAAAGTTACAAGATTATTTACTTTCTGCAAAATTTTTTGAAGTAAGCAGTATATTTGTTTTTGGTTCTATTTTCTTATTAAATGATAAGTGAATTTTAAGGTGATACTCTTATTTGGTTTTAAAAAAGCTGGTAAAACGTCAGTGATTAGCAGCGTTTTAAATTATTTATACGATGTTAAAAAGTACCATAATTTTAGGTAAGTTTCAAATATAATTTTTAGGCCGTTCGTAGTTTCTTTATACTATAAAGCCTAAAAAATGATTATTTTAAACTAAAATCTGAAAAAGAAAACTGTTGTTTATGATTTGCGGCATTTGAACTTATGGTACGGTCAACAGTAATCTGGTTTCACGAATCAGCTTGATCGATTCAGACGGTAAATTAAGCTTTAAACTCGTTCAGGTTTGTTTTGGAAGAAGACATTCAATCTACCAGTGACCTTGTTGAGTACGTGGTCAACAACTCGGTGTTGCAGTACTCAGTAACTTTCGTTGACACACCTGGCGTGCTTGATAAACAGGGCTATAGCGATACATCTAGTATAATAAAGGAGTGGTATGAAGAGGTGACTAGAATTCGTTTGATATCTAAGTGAAACTATACTTTAGTTTCAAATCGGACATTAATGACAGCAGTTTACCGTTAGACAGGTTCTATTTTACTGTCATTTCAAAACTCTTGAAGACAGGTTAAAATTTTAGAAGTTACTTAAAGAAGGAAAGTTTTGTTTGGATGCGATAACAATTGTTTTGAAAAGTGACGAACAGGAACTGACTTGGCCGTACATCCACGAATTAGCGGCAGTGAAAAAAATGTTTGGTGACGATTTAAGAGTTAATGTACTGCCGGTAATAACATATTCTGAGGTTCGCTCAGTAAATGTTACTTGTTCTTAAATATGTTAATATTAGTTTTTTAGCTGTACTATACGTTAATTTCGTGGAAGTATTTCATAAAAAAGTTGTTAAGACTTTTTTTAATTTTACAGATATTACCTCAACCAACAGCTGTCAAAGCTATGGCTTACGCTAATATAACTTTTCTGGAATATTATAAAGTAAACAGCGCAGGATTTGCCCAGTATGACGGGAAAATTAGCAAAAGTTTATACAGTGACTATTTTGAAGACGGTTTATTGTCATTCAAGCGATATTTTTCTGTAAGGGCTTGTTACTCCCCAACAACTGCACAGCACTAAGTAACACAAATACATGTTCAAATCTATTGAAAAAACAAAATTTAAAAATATTTATACATGACTGCATGAATTTTCTGAAGATGCGAACGAAAATAATCATGTTTTTTTAATTGCCAGTTTTTGTTCTACACTGGTAACACTTTTTACTTGAAGAATGATTTATAGCTTTTAAGCGAGCCAGCTAAAGAACAGTTAATTTAGGATCTAGACGACTTGGAGCAGCCTCTACTATCGGTGAAGACGAAGCCATGTTTGGTACCAGCCGGTACCTAGAGGTTGACTGAGAAAGAAGTAGAAGAAGAAATTAAGTTTCTTCTGTCGATAGTCACATACATGATTGAGCAATTTTTTACTGAGAAAACCTTCGTTACAAGAAAAGACATAGTTAGATACTGTCCAGGGAAATAAATCATTTTTTTATTTTTAAATAACTGTATAAAAAGTAAATGTTGATTTGTTTTCATTGTTTAACTGCTTTATAGCTCAGATTTTTGTCATATGAATGGAATATCAGTTTTTAATTGGTTTATATATTTCATTTTTGTTTTGCAGTTTTCAACTAGATTAATTCATTTTATTGCCTGTAACCAGAGTTACGCTCAACACCTGATCTGTTATATATGTTTTCTTATTGGCAAACTGCAGAATAAACTACATAAAATTGAGCGAAGAAGTATGTTGTAAAAATTTTATTACTTTGTATCTACTGATAGCTGTTTTTTATTGTATTATTAGTTAGTAATTTTTTTTTTAGATGTCACTAGTTTGTACTGAGATCATTGAAACAATTTTTTTTCTAAATTTCTTGCAACAACAATTTTTTTGCTGTTTTGTTTCTTTCGGCTCAGCCTGAGGAACAAAGAGCAGGGACAGTGCGATTTCTTTATGGTCAATTCACCGTTGCAAGTATGGCTTTGATCTTCAGCACCTGGGTCCTGTAGTTTGAGGCTGCCTTTGAAAACCACAACGTCAGTTAACAGCGATTTCTTCTAGGGATGTTTAAACTTTTACCTTAATTGCTTTACCTGAAGACTAGCTCTAGGAAGACAATAGTCTTCTTTGAAAAGCTAAGTAATTATGCAAAATTTACAGTAAAACAAAAAGAAATGAATTTTTCAAAAGTATTTCCAACCACAATGAAGTGCTTCATTCTCGCGATTTCTTACTCAGCTGTACTTGTTTCCAACAACTGTTTGTAAATTCTTTTTCTTTCACTTTTTTTTTTTTGGATAAATGCCGGCAAAACTTGGCCATAATAATGCAGCAAGGACCATCGAAAACTATGCCATTAGCAAACTCACTTTTCAGTTACTGTTCTTCTTGTATGAAACTGTTACTTGAGGTTTGCAAAAATAGAACTTCATCCGTCAACAAAAGTTTTCTTTAGCTTTATTTATAATTGTTCATAAACAACAGTTTTAGGTCACAGCTGCTGTTGTAGAATTTATTTCGTAAATTGACGTAAATAAATTTTTTAAAGTTTTATGTTCTAGAATCACACTAGTTAAAAACGTCAATGATTAAAAAAGACGGTTTTCCACTTAGCGAGACTGTCAGTGTATTTAAATGTTTGTTATAGTTTTGCCTTTTATTGACTTCCTAACAGAATGGTCTCAGTTTTGGAAAAGAACTGTTTTGCTGGCTAACATCTGTTGCATTAGCGGTGGACAGCTTAATCGTTTTGATTAATCGGTCATCTGATAAACAAATTATAGCATTTTTGGTCACTGACGCCCACTTTCAAACATTATGCAACTGTATCGTTGTCGTTATACTTTACCAGAGAAAACGTTAAAGCGTCTTCTACCATAACTTGTTTACAAAATCCAAAATTGCCCCCGAAATTCTCCACTAATTATTTTTATTGACGACGATGACAACATTTGTATTAACGACTTATCGCAAAGATGTGAGTTTTGGCGGTATCTTGATGCTTAATCGGTATATTGAGGAAATTTTTCCATTGCAATAAGCTTCTGACTTTATTTTTCGTCTTTAAAAATAATTCAGGTGTGGTTTTCAAGCTGAAAGGTTCAAACTACTGTCTATGTCGGTAGTGCAGTTGTTATCTAAATTTTGGTAGTTTAGTTGTCACACTATTTTTAAGTAAAACGAGCAGAATTTATGTGTTTACTCTAACAGCATTTTGAAAATGAAACAAAAAATCAATCAAATTTCTAATAATCTTTGTTTTGATTGTTTTTCCTGAGCAGATCCAATTAATCATCGAAAAAAGTACGAGAAAAGTGACAATTTTTTCCCTAGTTAAGCATCTGGTTCTAGAGTTTTTAGCTGTTAGGGTGACAAATGACCAGAGGGAAGATATTACACTAAAATGCCTTTCACCGATTTTTTGTGAAAAGGGCAGGAGAAATAGAAAGCACAAATTCAAACCGGTAACATTGTACAAATTGGGTAGGTTGTCAGTTTCACTGTTCGTTTATTAATCATTCTTCTACCATTATTAAAAATCTTCTTTATTTTGTCGTTCTATTAGTGCTTTTTTATCTTGTCAAATACGTTATGTGAATAAGAATAGAGTTGGTAACAGTGTTAGTCTGTAATGTTTAACATTTTCGCTGAGCACCTTTCATTGTCAAAATTAGTATTAGTTGATAAAAACAATTTGACAAATATGAAAACTTTATGTTTATTTTGATACTTACTTTCTTTGTATTAATTATTACAACAATTTATTCTTTCTTGTTCATTCATCCTTTTTTTGCTTTATAGCTCCCAGCTTGGAATAATTCAAAAACTCTCATTAGAAAGCTGTTCAGTTTACATTATTTTTTTTAATGCATACGTTGTCGGAAAGAACTGCATTGAAAATGGTGTCGTTTTTTCTGCTTTATAATCCGCTGATAATACAGGGGGTTGTTCATTTAATCAATTATATTATTGGTGATTAATTTTTGTACGCTCAAAGGACAACTGTTAAATTAACAGACTAGAAGAGCAAACTAAATTTATCAAGGATTTGATACAGTTATGTTTAGTATTTAAATTATATATTTTGTAAATATGATTATTATATAAAAATAGCTAAGAACAGTTAAATTATTAACAGCTGTAGTAACTGGAAAACTTAGGTTATTTCAAGTGGTTGTGGAGAAGCAAAAAAGAAAAATTTTTTTCTAATTGAAACAGATTCTAATAACATAAGTGTTTCTTTTTAAAATTCAATAAAGGTTTGCTATTCATTCGGTGATGTAAAAAAAACTCAAGTTTCTCTATTAACAATGCACTTTGTTACAAATTTTAACATGTAAAAATGACGCTTATTTTTATCTTGTGTGTTAGTCTTATATGTTGTTGTTAGAAGAGTTTGAGTTGTATACGCTTGGCGTACATAAAAGAAGTTTGTTGAGCAATAAAAGAAATTGGCTTTTTGCTTAATATACTACGTGCTGTTTGCATATCATTTTGACACGTCTATGCCAATAGATTCGTTCAATGTAGTTGTTGGTAATCGACTTTATTATCTTAAACATGCCTGACTGTCAAAGCATAAAGGTTTAGTAAACCAAACTTTACTGCCATGCGTACCTGGCTAACGACAGTCAAGTGCTTCTTTTTTTTAACAATGGAATTTTCTTGTCGCTGACAAGGTTTTTGAAAAGCTGTAAAATGCTTTATAATAATTCCAAACACAAACAACTAATATTTTACTTTCTAGTCAGTGCACAACTTTATAACTTTAGTTTCTAATCTTAGTAATGATCATTGTTTAAGTTTTTTATTGCTAATTGCTTTGCATCAATGGCTATAGCTTTACAAGTGTTACAGTTTTGACAGCTGATGATAAACGATTGTAAGGATAATAAATAAATAAATAAAGACTATAAGTTTGAAAAAAAAAAATGAAAATATTTAAGGAATTAATTTTATGTGCAAAATAAAAAATACTTCGTAATTATAGTGGAGTTGTGTATGACTGTACAGGTTCTGCGTATACAGATTTTAAACATAAATGGTTAATCTTTCATCAAGATCAAGTACACAACGAATTTCACAGTGGTTGAAGACTTTCTCAATAGGTAAAGCCTTTTTACTACATGAAAGGCTCCGAAATTTCAATTTTTGACTTTTGTTTTTTATTCTCTACTTATGCTTCACAGTTATATTTGCTAACCCAAAATTTTATTAGAAACAGAAAAAAAAATTAGAAGAGTATAAGAAAAACGTTAAACAAATGCTTGAATAAAGAGAGTTTTTTTTTTTTGTTTCTTTTTTGGTTACTGCTTCTGTTCTATTCTTGTTGACTGTGTTGTCTGTTAAGTAGCTGTAAAAAGCGTAGCACTGTTGTAATTGCTCATAGTTTTACTGATAAGTTTAATTTCTAAAAAAATTATTTAGCACCAATTTTTTTCTTTACTTCAGTTTGACAATACGTTGCAATATCTTAATTTAGAATTTTGTAAGAAATAACTATTTTGGTCTATAGCTGGCTCATTAAAACTGGAAGTATGGTAAACAAACTGTTATTTTTAAAGCCAATAAATTAACTCTACCTTGGAGAGGTTATAAAATTCCAGTTCTGTGATCATGATTGACGCGGCCACACTGCTAATATATAACTTGTTAAAAAACTTAATCTTGGAAGATTTACAGTGCAAAAACTGTTGGCTGGAATTTGAAACTTTTTTGTGAAAGAAAAAGAAAACATGGTGAGTTGATAACGTGATACAAAAGATTACAAACTAACTTTTGGTCTTAAACAATCCTATTTTTGAAGCAAGGGTTAGAGAACCTTATCATTTCTTTACATCTACCATTCGTTTCATCATAGTGTTGTCAGTTTGCTATTAGACAAACACTTCTGTGCTTAATTTCCAAAATTTAAAACTGTTAGATGTATTATTTAGTCAACTCTCATAATTAATTTCAAAAGTTTCTTTGCAAT